GAGAAAATTGGAGTATTCTATTTCAGGTCTTACTAGTTTTTTAATTTTTTTTCCGGGCAGAAACGACTATTACGATGCTCACAGCTAATTATTGCAAAAAAGCAGCATTCGGTGCTATCGTTCTGCAAAAAGTGACAGCAGCGACACTTGAAATTATCTTTGACCTTTGAGAACCAAATATGAATGAATGGCTTAATATTTCAACTTCCCACCTACTGCGCATTCTATTTTCATGGCACTATGCGATATGAAATGCAATCACTGGGATGCTGAGGCGTCAAGAGCATGACTCGGCACTTTATGAGGGCTTGCAACTCACATTTACTCTCACTGGGGCTCACCTGATTACGCAGAACAAGGGTCTCGATTGGTGTGGTGGACGGCAAGTGGGCACCCGCAAAAGGGTAATTTCGACTTCGAACCTCGCCTGAGGTTCCGATGATACTTCAGCGGCCTTACGGCTGTTGGGATTAGCATTGTTTATTTACCTATTAAAATATGTCGATAAAATTTTGAAAAAAGAAGAGGTGGGATCGGATCTTGGCTTATTCTAAGGGTTGCTCTTTATTACTTATTTTTGCTTGTTCGATAGGTCTTCATGTAACACGCGAACGCCATTTTTTCGGTTATTTCAACCGTGTCTATAATTCACGAACGTCGAATTTCGGATTGCCTTAGCCTGCCACTTCAGAATCTTGTCTTCTCCATGAATGCTCTAGAGAGATGGTAGAGTGTCACTCGGGATATCTTTCCTAATTTCTTTCCAGTTTTTCATCAATGGTCACTATAGTTTTTGTGGAACAAAGAGAGCTCTTACTAGACAAGCATGATGGCGAAATGCCGATCCCGCAGGGATGGAATGCTTGACTTGGCAGAAGCAATGTCGAACGAGCGCTCTATATCACTCTAATTCGAACTAGTGCTTCCTTTGCCCAGCTGCCCTTTATGCAAATAGAAATTATGCTTATGTGAGATGTCCTGCGATAGCCGGATTATGTTGTTCTCAATTGTTGAAAACAGTTTGCATGGCTGTTTCTTCATCCTCATTTTTCAGCGATAACTTGTATTAATTTTAACAAGAAAGACATCTTAGCAGAATTGGAACAAACTTAACGATGAAAGTGTTTCAGAAAAGAACGATCTTGACAATCTACGAGCACCAAAGTACCAATCAGGGTTAAAGTGATTGTTGTAGAATCTTCCTTGTAAACAATGTTAACCTTTTTATTTACTGCCTATTCTTCTTAATGGCAGGTTATGTTGCGAAGTATAACTCGTATGAACTGCTGAGATATTTGCAAAGCTACGGACCACAGGTGTATGCAGTGGAGAACACAAATATCTCAGCATTTCATACGAGTTATATTTCGCAACATAGCCTGCCATTAAGAAGAAAAAAGCAGTAAATAAAAGAGTTAAGATTGTGATTATAACTAAGCCTCAGCTTAACTGGATTCAATGCCGATATTGGCTCCCCGGATCAACCCCGCTGACGGGTGATTGCTGATGGCAAAAAAGATCGAAAGAAGTAGCTGAGATACACGCAAAGCGAAGGACCCGGATGGTGTAGTGGTGAAGTGCGCTGCTCCCCGGTAAGGACAACAGCGCGTGTTCGTTCTCCACTGCATACACTTGTGGTCCGTAGCTTTGCAAATATCTCAGCACCACTGTGGTTAAATTTCACATGATACCCTGCTTTGAAGAAATAATAGGTGTAAATAAATGTCATCTACTTTGTTCATTTCCAGTACCCGTTTCCGTCAATAATATCTCGACCGTACTGATGAGTCTGATTTCGCCATCAGCTTCACTCCTCAAGAACTATACTCGTTGTATTGGAGTACTATTAGTACTTCAAAAAACCGACTCTCTATGAACCTCGGCATAAATAGTTGATATATTTATTTATATGATCTTAAGGTTGATATAGGTCTTTGTTGTCGTCGTTGCTGTTGTTGTCGTTGGCATTCGTGCTGTAGGTCGATGGCTGACATTTCGGCGAATTCGCTTTCCTCAGAGCCTAGACGTGATTAATGTAAAAGTGGTCTTATATTGGGTGAAATATTTATAATATTAGTGAAGACCGAACTTCCAAATAAACGTCATATTAATCAAAAGGCTACTCAAAGTGCTGATACAAGTGGGACTGGCCGACGCGTTGTTTTCGTGGAACCGTGAGCAAGACCCACCCAGGGATCAAAATATCATTTTGAAATAGGGAGCCAGGTCACGCGTGATAGTGAGGCATTCGTCTTTCCGGTTCATCTTTGGATTTTTGAAATTTGTCCAAAACGTTTCAAGAGTTTTGCGCGTTGATGTTTTCGATTCCTGCGCTAGGATCCACACATTCACTTCAAAATCATCGCCGTTGTGCTTTTGTGCCCTACCTGCACCTAGAGGAATGCTTTGACGAATTTTAACTTTCCTATCCAGATATTCTTTTGCGGAGAAAAAAGCGGTCTATCCGTTTCCTCAATATAATCCTCACCGCACGCCTTACATGAGATCAAGTATATTATACCTGAACTCATGCAGCCCCATCTGTCCCGTTAGGACAGATTATACAGTTTTCTGAGATGCACAAATGATCACAGAGGCGGTTCCGAACTAACTGACGGTGTAGGGTACTGGGTGGGAGGTCAACAATCGTTATACAATTTTGAGGACCTCTTTTTCTTAAACATCTCTTAGTGGCGTAAATTAGTTGATTTAATACGATGAGGGTTAAGAGGAATCTTGGTTACATCCGAAGCATTATTTTGGGGAACTACCCCACGTTTTTGTCTAAACCGAGTGGCTTCCGCTTCGTACCCGTTGGAAATGGCTATTTTTCGTGCCAAATTTAGTGATTACTTCCTTTCCTCTTCTCGTGTGCCATAATTTTGATGAGTGCTTTCTTCACCTGTGAAGAATGAGAGAAGTAGTGAGCTAGTATATTTTCACTGGGTGGCTTACGATACCATTTTGTTACATAGCCACTTACTGAGAGCTTTATTTGGATGTTTAAGAATGGAAGCCAGTTCTCTGTTGGTTTTTCTCGTGTAAATTTTATATGCTCTGACTGTCCGTTTAACAATTCACAGCACTCATCCATCCGTTCTTGTGTGGAACAGAAGTGAAGCACTCGTCTGTGTACTATAGAAAGCCGCAGAGATTTTGAATTCAAGAGCTATCGAGCCAGGAGCATGCCGCATTTTTGTTGGCTTGTGAGGTTGCAGCTTAATTTTCCTTGTTGGTAGTGATTTCGTAAGCCAAGTAGTAAAAAATATACTACTTCACTACCTCTCCTCTCATCCTTCATACATGAAAAAAGCTCTCATCAAGAACATGTACCGAACAGCTAAAAACGTGCACAGGAGAGTAGGAAAGGAAGTAATCACTAAATTTGGCGCGAAAAATAGCCATTTTCAACGGCTACGAAGCAAGAGCCACTCGGGTTAGGCAAAACGGTAAAGTAGTTCCCCAAAATAATGTTTCGGATGTAAGTAAGGTCTCTTTTAAGCTACTCTTCATATCAAATGAAGTAAGTTACGCCATTAAGAGGTGTTTAAAAAAAAGAAAAAGAAAAAGTGGTCTTGAAAAGTGAAACGATTATTGACCTGCCACCCAATACCCTAAGCCGTCATTTGGTTCGTAACCATCTCTATGGTCGCTTGTGCAGCTCAGAAAACTATATGATCTGTTCTAACGGGAGACTGGGATTGCATGAGTTCAGGTATAATATACATGATCTCATGTAAAGCATGCGGTGAAGAATACATTGGAGAGACCGCTTTTTGTCCGCAAAAGAATATCTGGATGGGAAAGTTAAAATTCGTCGAAGCATTCCTCTAGGTGCACGTAGGACACAAAAGCACAATGGCGATGATTTTGAAGTGAATGTGCGGATCCTAGAGCAGGAATCAAAATCATCAACGCGCAAAACTCTTGAGGCGTTTTGGATAAATTTCAAAAATCCAAAGATGAACAGGAAAGACGAATGTCTCACTATCACACGCGACCTGGTGCCTTATTTCAAAACGGTATTTTGACGCCTGGCTGGGTCTCGCTCGCGAACCCACATGAACAACGCGTGGGCCAGACGCACTCGTAAGTAACAGCACCATGAGTGGCCTTTTGATCAATATGGCGTTTATTTGGAAGATCGATCTTCACTAATATTATAAATATTTCACTGAATATAGGACTACTGTCACATAAAATACGTTTAGACTCTGAGAAAAGTGAAATCGCCGAAACGTCAGCCATTGACCAACAACACCAATAAAGACAACAACAAGAACAACAACAACAACAATGGCAAGGAACTTCCTGATTTTTTTGAGCCTCACTAATATTTCTTCAACACCATGAGGATAAAATTTACTGGTAAACAGTCTTCCATAAAAATATCGAGCTTCTACGTTGGCATGATGCTGCACGATGTGTAAAGCAACAATTAACCATTATTTGAAGAGAAGGGATTGAAATCAGAAATTTTTAAGAGGTCCAATATTGAGTGGAGTAGCAAACTTGAGAAAGACATTCTCGACATCATTGAATTTCCTTCGACGGTTCATTCCTGCAGAAGCAGTTTATGCCGGTGGTCTAGTGTCAGCGTAAAAAGAGGCAAAAACATCAATCAGTAATAAAAATCATTTCAAGGCTACTGCTAATAAGAGGAGGTCTAATTTGGCAGTCGTTCGTACGAGGGGTTAACTTTTAATGTGGTGCAAGACAAATCGCCCACCATGGTGGAAAATTTTCTCAGGTAGTAGCTTATTAAGAGAAACAGCTGGGCAATCGTCTTGTAGTCTTTGTTCTGAGCACGTATTGTGTTGAAACAATGATTCTTATGACAACAAAATAGATAATTTATTTTTGTTAAGACACTTGCTGACTTGCAGTATGTGAAATAGATTTGTATTCATCCGCAGAATAAATTCTTAGTGAATAGTCGCACCTTATCAATAATGGTAAAGAAAAAATTGTCGGAATTGAAGCCATGGGATTAAATGAAATCACACCCGAACTACTTTGTAAGTACTGGCAACTTTTCTTGTTGTTCGAACATCACTGTCATTTCTTGGCCTAAAACTTTGACAAAGTTATTTACAGCAAAATCGATGCTCAGTTCGAAAACTATCCAAGATAACTTAGCAGCAAAGCAAAAGTGGAAAAAAGGAAAGGTTTTCGGTTTACCGTTCAGTGGTATTCGTGCAGTGACAGAGCGGCCGCAAAGGATTGTCGACCAGGCAATCTCCTTGTTTACCATACTCGTTCAAACGATGGAATTCGGAACTTACAGTCAAACCGGATGAATTGGATTGAACATTTCCCTGAAAAACAAGCAAAGCAAATTTGAACCAACTACATGTGTACAAAAAGTTTATATGAAAATGGATCAGCAGAGAACACAGTGACTCCATCCTACGAACTCATTTTCGCATAGGAGCTGCCATAAGTTCGTTTATGTTTCGCGTCGTACTGTACTACTTCTATTGATGAAGCATTAAGCAGTCTCAAAAGTAACCAACTCAAGATTCCTCAAATATAACGGCATCGGAAGTATAAAATTATGTAGAACGTAACATTTTTCAGAAACAGATTCATGCTCAAAAATAGGTTTTCCTTTTGCATAACTTTAAAACAGATTTGTTCCAGTTAGGTAGCAAGTAATTCAACCCAGAAGGGTAGCGAGTTATGCACTATAGTGGCATTTACAATGCTGGAGCAGAGTAGCCTATCATCTCCGACTTATTAATGAGTATTTTAACATCGCCTAACTTACTACCAATTAGTACAAACTTTTACTCACAGAGAAAAGACCCATTGATGGTTCCAAATAGACGGTCATATCGTAATGCGTAACGCCGCCGACCCGAATTTGCCTGATACTCAACGCCTGGAATAAAAATCTGTCGTACCCCTTGGCAATTTTTTCCAATTTTATTTTGGTTTCTGTAGACAACTTTCAAACTAATGACACTTACAGGAAATTACAGTGGAGTTGACAAGGTTTTTATAAGATATTCTCGTACCATGCGAAGAAGAAACGCTTGTAAATGTCTGACCTTGTTGTAGAACTGTTTTCGGCATTTCTTTTCCAAACCATGCTGCTGTAGGACCATATTCAACTTGTTAGCGAAGAAGTGGCCCAGTTTTGTAATCAACCCTCGATCGCTGAACACTTGTTGTAGTGGTTCAACAACATTTTCACAACTGTTTGTAGCAAAAGAAAGGTCTCATTGACAAAATAAAGTTTTCCTATTTCACTCAAATCGTTATAATAACAAAAACATGTAAACTACCAGAAGAAGGTCAACAACAGTTATTTACCTAAAAAGTTAACTAAAGCTTCAAACTGTGGTGCTTTCAAAGCATTTCTATGCAATACATCTCGCCTCTCATCGATTTTACAATGAAAACGAGTTTTTCAAGAGTAAAATACATAAAATAAACCAGAATAGCTAAACCTACGTCACATCGTATTCGCTATATTGACAAATACAATATGCAGACGGTATTGGTAGTGTTCGGCAGTTTCTTAGTCCTCTCCATTCTCTTAATAGCGATGATCCCTTGCTGATTGGCGTAAGATTACGGTGGGCGGTGTCCGAAAACCCAGCTGACGGTTGTATCTGAAGAAGCGGCTCTACATCATTCTGTAACTTTCTCTGATGGATATAAAGGTGCGATTTTCACTATTCATCGGCGTCAATACACGTGTGAGCATAGCCGCTTGATTAGTGGCTTTTGCTTCCAGCTTAATTTTAATTTACTTTACTCTAAACATCGAACAAAAACAGAAGAATCCTTCCTGTTTTCATGATTGGAAAACCTGAGGTTCTTGTTGCAGTATTTATTCATTCACATTAGTTGGTGTTTCGGCGCTTTGAACTTCTTCAGAATAGTTTTGTTCACTCCTTAGTTACTGCTGGAAACCAACTGCACAGAGTCTTACATGGCTGCGGAATGAAAGACATGAGAGACATTCCTCATCCATGTAAGACTCTGTGCTGCTGGTCCCCAACAAGAACTGGAAGTCTTAGAAAAAACAGAACTTTACTGAAGAAGTCCAAAGCACCGAAACATTAGCAAATGTTAATGAAGAAGTACTTTAGTGGCAATCTGGCCTTCGCTTGTCAAGAAAACTGAGCTATCGACCAATGTCGAGGTTAAAAGAAAGTCGGTCATAGGATTTGCTGCATGGACGATGTTTGTCGATGATGTAACTTGTAAAGAAAGTCTCAAATATTATGTTATCAATCTGTAATCCTAAAGGTCGTTGTCCTCACCTTTAATATGTCCATGATCGTCGCGTGTAGATCAAAATTCGTCATTAACTGGTTAGTCTTCTGATACAATTGGTGGTGTATTGATGTATTACGGTACATTGACGGTATCATCACCATGAGGAATGGATTCAGATTCTCGTACTGACCCAAGGGCACTTCACGAATCTGAGTGTGATATTTATCCAGGAACAAGCAATAAGTTACTACTGAGATGATTAGCAACAAAAGCGACTAACTCCCTCGAATCGTGGTCCATGATCACCCATGAAGAAGAAAAACGATTTGTCTACGATCGCTCGGTTCTTTTTGAAAAATTTAAGAAAGTGTTCATCGGCATGGTAGAGGTCCTTCAATGTGTCGTGTGCCAAATACGTCGGCCATACTTGCGCGATTTTTGGCGTTCCTCAATGTCATATCTGCTTTATAGCAATTCAATACGATAAGATAATCAGAATGGAAAACACCATAGAAAACATGGTCAAATGAGGAGGTCTAACGACTCCTAGAATTTCCAGATTTCCATATATATATATATATATATATATATATATATATATATCAACCCTACGTTGCTCATGATAGTCAAATCTAGATAGTACATCGAGAAAAAACTTCAAGCATTGATCAATCGCTTCAGAATGCACCGTGGGGGCTCTATTTCTTGTGACGGTAATATGTAAAGCGGTGAACTTAGAGTTACCCTGCAATAGAAAGATGTTTGTTGGTTCAATCCCGTGCTTCGAACCCCCAACCTATATATTCGCCCGAGTTTCGCAAATTGATACCAGACCTCTAGGTGATAAAAACAGTTATTTAGCATAATGGTTGGCTCTCGCAGGTCTCTGTATTGGGCAAATGCGCACCCAATAAAAATAATAGGTATTGTTTTAAGACTCTAGCTGACCTGGACTACTAGTCAGTGGTGGATGAAAATAATGAAAAATTTTCTGATCCGGTAGAACTTGTGCAATCAAAGTTCTATTCCTTTGGTGGAGCGTCATGGTTTTTTTCTAATACGTCGACGGCACTCAAGTTGTCTAGATCTAGTTGAATGACCAATTGTGAAGCGTATAAAACCAGTGAGATTTTTAAACATCAACGAAGAAAAGAATGCTATATTCACCTGTGTAGGATTTCATGAACTTTTCTAGGTAGTCCAACATTTCCAAATGAGGCTCACTACACGAATCCTTGAAGCTCTTTTTGAAAGTTGAGCCCTCGACTCTTAGAATGTCGAATGGCCTGCAAGAATTCTTCAAGCGATTTCATTATTTCACGGTCATGATACCTAGCTAACTGTGTACTCACGTAATATCAACATATTTCTGACTCCAAAATGTTCTATCATTCTCAACCTGCATGCTAAATTTTCCCACACTTATCTCTCTCTCTTATCGGTGGCACATTTGTGTTCACAAAGAATATTTGTGTTTGTCTCGTGGCATTATGCTTACTTATTATGCTTTAGTTTTTCATCAAAAGTCAAGTTAATTTCGGTATTTATGTTCCAACTTATGGATTATGCTCATATGCTAGCTATATTAACACGAAATGTGCTCCTCTGTGTTGAACTGAGACAAACAGGGTTTCATTTAGTATTCTTATCGCAAGTGATAAGGAGCTGAACATCTTGATGAGGAAGATGAGCTGCGAAAGAAACCGTACCCGCTAAACTAAAATTGGCATTATTCCTACGAAAAGTTGGAATATAGCAAAGTAAACATTCAACTTCGAATTTCATTAAACCTCTGAATAGATAATTAATCTTTTTGTTGATCTATAACCTTCCGCGAAATTGTTAAAAACCCTTATTATGGTTGATGTTTTCGTGGTTTCACTTTTTTCAGAGTAGGAATGATTCTACTCTGAAAAAAGTGAAATTTTTTGAAAAAACAGATGACTGTCTACAGCCGCTCTTAACTGCGACAGTGCCAAACAACCGAAACGTTAGCCGTAATAAAGATTTGTAACAAATTCTAGTAAGCTTATAAACAAACCAAAACCTAGTAGTAATGCTAATATAGAAAGTAGAAAGTCATAAGCATAGGCAAAGGTCCATTTCTTTATGTTATTGAGCGTGGAGTTCTCTACGTGCTCTCAACTCCAAGGAAAATGTGAACCGCTGTTTAGACTTTCTGAGCTAAGAGTTCTCTAACAAAGGAGCACATAAGAAGGGCTGGTCAGCTTTCCAAACTGCTAAGGCCTTGTGCACAAAAAAGCTAGAAAGCTAACTAATGCTGCAAGCCTTCTAGTTAAATGAAATTACACTTCTGTATCCGATGTTTAAGGGCGCGTGTGGCGCAGTGGTTAGAGGCGCCACTGCGACATATACGTGGAATCGATCTCCGCGCCCTTGGCTCACCAAGCCTTCCATCTCTCCAGGGTAGGCAATGTGGTACCATACTTGTCTGAGAGGATAGCAGAACTGGCCCGATACATTGGTAGGCCACTGGGAGACTTCCAACGATATTTAGCGAAGTCGATGCAGGGCGCATCTCTCAGGAATTGATCAACGCCGAGAGCTTTCAGTTTTTATCTGGTGTTTACAGCAGATCGGTCCTTATCATCTTACAAAGTTTGTTCCAATAATTTAATTTTCCTTACTGAGTAAAAATAAAATTATAAAACGTCAGGAAATTTTCACCTCCAGATGTGATCAGCCTCACTTCTTTTGAAGCCGAGACAATTCAAATAGTACACAATTCCTACACCATAATCTTGAGCGATCATTGTCTGCAAAACCATCTAGTTTTTTTCAGAGAAAATGGAAAAAATTAGCACAACTGGTGATCAACAACACCAGTGGCTTGAAGAATGAAGGCTGGAAAGAAAAGCATGGCCAAGGAGTTCCCAGGATCGACCATCTATTAACCACGGCATTGGAATATGAATGCGTCGTTTTCTTGTTCAGCAATCGCAAGGTTTTTAAACAGCATACATTTACTTCCATAGAGAAACACAATACAATACAACAGCAACTGACGTTTCGGCGGTACCGCCTTCTTCAGAGCCTGGAAGGGTGCACTGATATACAATCTACTGAGGCAAACGCTTCAATACCACTTACCAAAGACGAAAAACTCTATGGTGATTATATGACCAACAGTTTTTCAAAAAACTCACCGCTTTTTATGTGACTTCCAATGAGGAAGGTTAGCACAGCTGATTATAGTCGCATATGGTTGACAACTGCACCATCCCACTTCAGAAATTGATGCGAACATACGGGATCAGGTTGCGTATATCTTCTGGGCATTCATCCCTGCTATTCATTGTAGGGTTTTTGGCATTTATCCAAAAACCCTCGAGAAGTTTTCGCGCTGGTGTTTTGGACTACTGTGCAAGGATATTGACTTTTACTTCGAAATCGTCTCCGCTGTGCTTTTGTATCCTGTGCGTGTCTAGTGGGGTGCTTCGTCTTAGTTTTCGTTTGCCATCTAGGTGTTCTTTTATACGGATACACAAAGGTCTGCCCGTTTCGCCAATATATTCATCTCCGCAATTCTTACAAGAGATCAGGTACATCGTGCCTGAACTCATGCTATTACCGTCCCTGCCGTAAGGGCAAATTACGCAGTTTGTTGTTTCACATAGACTCATACAGGCGGTTACGAACTAACTGCTATCACTACCGATTCCTCTACACCTTCCCTTCTTAAGCATCGTTTAATAGCAACGCTTACTTCATCGCTAATAGAAGCAATATGAACGAGACTTTCGCTTTGGAGTAAAAGTTAATATCCTTACACGGGAGTCTAAAACACCAACGCGAAAACTTCTTGAGGCTTTTTGGATAAATGCCAAAAACACTACAATGAATAGCAGGGATGAATGCCCGGAGGTCATACGGTACGTTCGCATCGACTTTTGATGTGGGATGGTGCAGTCGTCAACCACATGCGACTATAATCAGCTGTTCTAAACTTCCTCATTGGAAGTCACGAAAAAGCGGTGGGTTTTTCGAGAAGTTGTTGATCATGTAATTACCGGAGAGTTTTTCGTCTTTTGGTAAGTGGTATTGAAGCGTTTGGCCTAGTAGAATGTATATCAGTATACCCTTCCAGGCTCTGAAGAAGGCGATACTGCCGAAACGTCAGCTAGTGTTGTATTGTATTGTGCTTTTCTATGGAAGTAAATGTATGCTGTTTAAAAACCTTGCGATTGCTGAACAAGAAAACGACGCTTTCATGGCTAAAGAGATTGAACAACTGTGTTCGCTAATATCGCGATATCGTCGTGAAAAGAAATAAAGAAAATTTTTAACACTCACTTTGTATCCCATTTTTGAATACTCAAACAAATGGTACGAGCGATTGTCCAGATACTCGTTGCATATTTTATTGAGATCCCAGTCGGGTATCAAGGGTGGCAGCCCCACCATAGCTCGACTTCCGCCTTCGATGGATTTTCCAGAAATAGCACATTTTTTTTCTAATCAACCAACCAAGAAAAAAGGGTCAGGTGTCAATTTCTAGGTATAATTTCTCTTTTACACCAGACTTTCTCACAAGCGTTTGATTGAGATATGTACTAACTGCAATCGCGAACCGATCAATACCTTTAGGTCATCTACCCTCGAGTTGCATCATTCGGATTTATAAGTATTAACAGTTCTCTAAACATCATCTTACCGAATACAAGTGGAAATCCGTTCGGTTTACTGTTATCGCCCACTTTGTTAAGAAACTCCATGTGAACTCCACCCATACTTTCCAGATATGTGAGCGTTTTGGGAAGCGATCTGAAGTTCTGTAGTGATGGCAAAAGGTTCTACAACAACTTTGAAGCCTTATTGCAATACATACGGAGCAGATAGTCCAAGGGTAGGGATACCGATCATCATGAGCACAGTGATGATTTAAACCTGCTCATGGCTCACAAAGCTTCTCATTCCTTCAGGATCACGAAATCGATACCAGACTTGTCTGATCACTTATTCCGTCCAATCCATACGCGAATACTCTAGCTCGGCTATTCCAAGACTTCAGGGAGAGTCGACATGACCGGAATTCAACAGCGCTTATAGCGAGGATAAAAATCCTCGAATAGTTGGCGAAGCCACGCAGACAAAAGTTTAAAAGCATTCGTGGATGATGGATGCGAGGAAACGAATCGAATGCGAGAAGCGCTAGGAAATGCACAGTAGATTTGAAGATGGGTCACGTAAAACAAAAAGAAATTGGGAATACTTAACACGAGAAAGTACGCTGGGAGTTGGTAGGAGAATCGCGGGTAATAATTTCTCCCATTAGAATTCTAAACGTGCCTACCTCTTAACCATAAACGAAGACGCCGAGTCGATTATGAGTAAGTAAACGTCTGGTTTGGAAATTTTCTGTGCATCTCTAAAAACAAATGACATCGTTGGCGGTACTCTTCGACCTGTTTATAGAAAAAAATTAAAAAAGAACAGTAGTGAAGAACGACAGTGAAATAACAATACATCCTATGCTTATCGATCGATTGCCATACTTTTGTTCGTATATCTGCGTGTGGAGAAACGATTCAGTTGTCAAATTTTTGGTGCACTGGGTTTGAATAACATCACATTTGAACACCTTCGTAGATGGAAGATTAATCCACTCTTGTGCGATGTAACGACGATCGCCGTCGGGAAGAATACACCTAAACGGGATGCCCTATAGAGAATGCAAGCCCGTACAAATCTTGGTTAGAACAAGATTATCAACAAGTCATTATAGAAAAGCCGGGTGATAGTTAGAAATGTAAATATACGTCCATGTCTGGTAACGCATGACCTATTGATCCACAAGGTGACCTAGTTTAAATGTCCTCATGACCTCATGGATATGTAGTGACATTTGAGCCGAATTTTTGCTCTACGTGTAGTTTTTCTCCACAAGGTATCGTAGGAATTTAGTGAACATCTCAATCTCTCGAATTCTGTTACGGACGACGTTTTGATTTCTTCCGTTATGACCTCTACAAAAACTGGTAGAGAATGTCTTCCTTTTGTCTATTTCTTTTCCACTTTTAGGTGTTATGATGAGAATCGCTATATGCTTGTGAAACAAAATCAAACTTGACTGTTGTGAACTTCATGTGCTTTTTGTCTTATGTAGGTCCACGTACGAACATATACGCATTTCCACCTGATAGCAGACTAAAGGCTAAGTATTTGTTGCTTCTCGGGTGACTCAATCTCAGATGTTGGTTTATTCTTTGTCACATTTCTATGTGGTGCAGCAGTGAAAGAGTGGAAACTATGATGACCGCTGTGAAAAACTTAACCAGAAGCTTTTGATAGAGCTTCAACATCATCTTTCTTGTGACGATGATTTTCGCATTTTTATGAGACTACCTGGCCTTGCATTGATAACCTCTCCCCTTCTCGTTAACG